CGGAAGCCACGCAGATGTTCTTTGACACTGGAACAATACAGGAATTTGTCTGTAGAGGCCCTGGACTCTCACTCAGCCCCAAGAAAGAAATGTGACGAAGAATGACATAATGATATTTGCATGGACATGATGGAGCTAGACATGGCCACACTAACTGAATTATGGCAGAGAGAGAGAGACAAATATGATACGAAGTCATTTATTGAGAGAATATGAAAACTGGCATATATAAACTCTTTATATACCACGTAGAGGGCCCCAGAATAAAACAAAAAACCTTTGGTTACAAAAAGGGAGAGGTAAAATGAAGGGATCAAAGAGTTGCACTGTGACATATGCAAAATCATATATTCACAGGAAGCTCAGCTGGCTGCTCTGGAATATTCTTAATGGGAAAAGAACAATAAAAAATTCACAATGCCACTGGAAAAAGAAAGTGCAGTTGCAGTTCTCCTCAAACCAAGGCAATGATTAAATCACCTAGGTGCCAGTAAAAAATAAAAGTTAAATGAGGAAAGGAAAGAAAGAAATGTCTAATATACTCCTGAGGCCTCCGGGTACCTGGCTGGCATCACATTTCTGGAGCCTGAGACCTCTTGGATCCTGAGGCTGGTCCCTGCGGAGGCTGAAGGAGTTGAAAAGGATGGGCAGGCAAGTGAGAACCCGGGACAAGCAGCCTGGACCCCAACCTGCAAATCCAGACGGGCCGATCTACAGCAAGCCCATGCCAGGTGCACCCCACACCTGGGAGCCCCCTGGGCTGCAAGAGCTTTTAATGGTCCCTGCTCCACGTGCCCTGAGAATGGGGCTTCCCACCTCCCACCGACATCTTAGAGTCGCCCCACCTACAAGCGTTAGCATCCTCAGCACAGCGGTTTTGCAGCGGTTGGGATATGTCTTCCGGGGTGAGGGGGACGGGCAGAGAGGTCAGGAGATACAAGCCCGAGGGTCTCTGTGCTGGCACACCGCACTCTAATCACAACCCACAAATGGGCCTTTCACTAAGGCTCTAGTTGCCTGAGCAAGCCGAGGTGGGCAGGCAACGTGCTGCCGCCTTGTGGACATTTTCAGGAACTGCAACCAGGGCTGAGGGGCACTGCACACTCCCAAGGCGTTTTCAGGGGCTGTCAATGTCACCTGCCCTCAAGACACCACCGGAGGTGGGTAATCAAAACAGGATTTGTAAACCGCAGACTTGCCTGAAGCCCGCTGCAACAGATAAATTGACTCGCAGAGTTTAGGGAAATATAAAAACAAGAGAAAACAGGCTCAAACACAGGGAAATGCCAACCAAAAGACCACCAAGGATTTCCTGGGTGGTTCACTGGTAAAAAAAATCCACCTGCCACGCAGGGGACACCATATTTATTCCTCATCCAGGCAGATCCCACATGCTGGGGATCAACAGAGCTGGAAACCCACAACTGCTCCAGCCCCCTGCCCAAGAGGCTGTGCTCCCCAACAATAGAGGCCACCACAGAGAGAGTCTGCCCACCCCAACTACAGAGCCCCTGCCTGCTGCTACTGGAGAGAAACCTGGGCAGCAAAAAACATCCAGCACTGCCTAAAGGAGTCAACTGACTAAATAAATACATACAGAAAATTCAACTGAATAAAAGAAATGTATTATTTTGGGGAAAAAAAAAAGAGACAGAGAGAGGGAGAAACATGTAATATCTCACCAGTCAGAATGGCCATGCTCAGATTGCCTACAAACAATAAATGCTACAGAGGGCCAGGAGAAAACCGTGCCTCCTCAGCTTTTCCAGAGATGCAAACTGGTCACAACCACTAGAAAGGAGAGGATGGAATTTCCTTTAAAGTCTAAAGCCAGAGCCAGTACATTCCTGGTGGTCCAGTGGTTAAGAATCCATCTGCCAACGCAGAGGACATGGGTTTGATCCCTGGCCCAGGAAGATCCCACATGCAACGGGGAAACTAAGCCTGTGTGCCACAACTACTGAGTCTGCACTGTTTTCCCAGTGCTCCAGGACAAGGGAAGCCACCGCAACGGGAAGCCCACGCACAAACTTTAGAAAGCCAAGGTGCAGCAGCAGTGAAGAGCCAGCACAGCCACAAGAATAATAAGCTCATAAAAATAAATAAAGCCAGAGCAGGCAGATCTGGTGATCTGACTTCTGCCCATGTCTCCAGAGGAAATATTGATTTCAACACACCTGAACCCCAAAGTTTGAAGCATCCCTGTGGACATAGGTGGGAACACGGAAGCCTCCCAGATGTCCTTGGACATGGGAAGGATACAGAATTTGGCTCTACAGAGGCAATGGACTCTCATTCAGCCTTGGGAAGACAAGTGAAATTAGATCTAATGACATTTGCACCAACATGATGAAGCCAGACATGGCCATCTACCTGATCTAATGCAGAGAGACAAAGCCAAATATGATACGAGACCACTCTGCAAAGTGACACATATAAACTCATATACACCAAGCAGCGGGCCGCAGAATAAAACAAGAAACCTATGGTTACGACAGAGGAGAGGTTAAAGGAAGGGATCAGAGAGATTAAAGGGAGGGATCAGAGAGGTGCTTTGGATTCACATATGCAAACTCAAATATATTTGCAGGAAGCTCTGCTGGGTGCTCTGGAATATTCCCAATGGAAGAAGAATCTGACACCAAATCCACACTTCCACATGAAGAAAAAATATCAAGTTGCTGTTCACCCCAAACCACACAGTTATTTAACCTAGATGCCATAAAAAAATAAATGGTTACATGAGGAAAGGGAAGAAAGAAAGAAATGCCTACTATATTCCCCTGAGGCCTCCAAGTACCTGGCTGGTGTCACATTTCTGGAGCCTGAGCCCTGCAGGATCCTGAGGCTGGACCCTGCAGGGGCCGGGGGAGCTGAAGAGGATGCCCAGGCAAGTGGGGACCCCAGGACAGGCAGTGACTCTACCCCTCAGACTGGGACGCCAACCTGCAAATCCAGACGGGCCTACCAACAGCAAATCCAGGCCGGGTGCACCCCACACCTGGGGACGCCCGGGCCGCAAGAGCTTCTAACAGCGCCCGCTCCACGTGTCCTGAGAGTGGGGCTTCCGCCTCCCACCTCCACCTACAAACGGCAGCATCCTCAGCACAGCGGTTTTGCAGCGGTTCGGATATGTCTTCCGGGGTGAGGGGGACGGGCAGAGAGGCCAGGAGACACAAGCCCGAGGGCCTCTGTGCTGGCACACCGCACTCTAACCACAACCCACCAGGCCTTTCACTAAGGCTCTGGTTGCCCGAGCAAGCCGAGGTGGGCTGGCAACGTGCTGCCGCCTTGTGGACAATTCTCGGAACTGCAACCTAGGACCCAGGGCTGACGGACGCGGCTCATTCACAAGGCGTTTTTATGGGCTGTCAATGTCACCTGCCCTCAAGAGGTGGGTACCAGAGAGACTTCCACCAGAGGTGGGTAATCGAAACAGGATTTGTAAACCGCAGGCTTGCCTGAAGCCCGCTGCAACAGATAAATTGACTCGCAGAGTTTAGGGAAATATAAAAACAGGGGAAAACAGGCTCAAACACAGGGAAATGCCAATCAAAAGACCACCAAGGATTTCCTGGGTGGTTCACTGGTAAAAAATCCACCTGCCACGCAGGGGACACCATATCCATTCCTCATCTGGGCAAATCCCATATGCCGGGGATCAACAGGGCCCGAGAACCACAACTACTCCAGCTGCCCGCCTAAGAGACAATGCTCCCCAACAACACAGGCCACCACATGAAAGCCTGCCCACCACATCTACAGAGGAGCCCCCGCTTGCCACTACTAGAGAAAAACCTGGGCAGCAAAAAACACCCAGCACTGCCTAAAGGCATCAACTGACTAAATAAATACATACAGAAAAATTCAACTGAATAAAAGAAATGTATTATTTTGAAAAAAAAAAAACAGAGAGAGAGAGAGAGAAAGAGAGACATGAATGGCCATCCTCAGATTGTCTACAAGCAATAAATACTGTAGAGGACATGGAAAACACCGTGCCCTCCCCAGCTTTTCCAGAGAAGCAAACCTGGTCACCATCACTTAAAAGAACAGGTTGGAATTGACTTTAAAGTCTAAAACAAGAGATAGGACTTTCCCGGTGGTCCAATGGTTAAGAATCTATCTGCCAATGCAGAGACACGGGTTTGATCCCTAGTCCAGGAAGATCCCACATGCTACAGAGTAACTCAGCCTGTGAGCCACAACTACGCCGTCTGCGCTCTCGATCCGATGCTCCACGACAAGAGAAGCCATGGCAACGAGAAGCCCATGTACCAAACGTGAGAAAGCCAAGGTGCAGCATCAACAAAGACCCTGGGCAGCCAAAATAATAAATAAATAAATAAAAATAATAAACAAAGAAAACCAGACCAAGCAGATCTGGTAATCTGACTTTTGTTAATGTCTCCGGAGAAAGCATGAATTCCCACACACCTGAACCCCACAGTTCAGTACAGCTCTACGGACGCAGGTGAGAACACGGTAGTCTCCAAGATGTCCTTGGACTGAAACAATACAGGAAGTTGGCTCTACTGAGGCACTGGACTCTCACTCAGCTCCAAGAAAGAAATGTGACAAAGAATGAAATAATGATATTTGCATGGACATGATGGAGCTGGACATGACTACAATAACTGAACTACTGCAGTGAAGAGACAGAAAAATAGGATACCACTTATAGACAGAATATGAAAACTGGCACATATAAACTCCTTATACACCAAGTACAGGATCCCAGAGTAAAATAAGGTGAAAGGCAAAAGGAATGGATCAAAGTTGCTTTGGATTCACATATGCAAATTCATGTATATCCACAGGAAGCACCGCTGGGCACTCTGGAATATTCCTAATGGAAAAAGCTTGAAAAAGAATTCACATTTCCACTGGAAAAAGAAAATGGAGCTGCTGTTCCCTTCAAACCAAAGCAATGATTAAATCACCTAGATACCAGTAAAAAATAACAGTTATGTGAGAAAAGGAAAGAAAGAAACGTCTACAATATTCCCCTGAGACCTCCGCGTCCTGGCTGGCATCACATTTCTAGAGTCTGAGCCCTCTTGGATTCTGAGGCTGGACCCTGTGGGAGCTGAAGAAAGTGTGCAGGCAAGTGAGAACCCAGGACCAGCAGGGTCTCTTCCCCTCCGACTGCGACCCCAACCTGCGAAATCCAGACCGGCCTGCCTACAGAAACCCATGCCAGGTGCACCCAACACCTGGCGGCCCCCAGGGCTGCAACAGCTCTTAAAGCCCCCGCTCCAGGAGTCCTGAGAGTGGGGCTTCCACCTCCCACAGCCATCCTTAGAGTCTGCCCGCCTACAAGCGGCAGCATCCTCAGCACAGCGGTTTTGCAGCGGTTCGGATATGTCTTCCGGGGTGAGGGGGACGGGCAGAGAGGCCAGGAGACACAAGCCCGAGGGCCTCTGTGCTGGCACACCGCACCCTAATCACAACCCACCAGGCCTTTCACTAAGGCTCTGGTTGCCCGAGCAAGCCGAGGTGGGCTGGCAACGTGCTGCCGCCTTGTGGACAATTCTCGGAACTGCAACCTAGGACCCAGGGCTGACGGACATGGCACGTTCACAAAGCCTTTCTAGGGGCTGTCAATGTTATCTGCCCTCAAGACATCACTGGAGGGGGGTATCCGAAACAGGATTCGGAAACAGCAGACACGCCAGAAGCCAACTGCAACAGGCAAACTGACTCACAGGGTTTACTGAAACATACAAACACGGGAAAACAGGCTCAAACATGCTCATCATCAGGGAAATGCCAATCAAAACACCACCAAGGGTTTCTGGGGTGGCCCATTGCCCAACTATCCGCCTGCAAGGCAGGGGACACCATATCGATTCCTCATCCGAGAGACCCATATGCCAGGGGTCAACAAAGCCCAAAACTCACAACTACTCCAGTCCCCTGCCCTAAAGCCAGGGCTCCCCAACAAGAGAAGCCACCACAATGAAAGCCTGCCCACCACAACTACAGAAGAGCCCCCACCTGCCGCGCCTAGGGAAAAACCGGGCAGCAAGGAAGACCCAGCAGAGCCGATGGAATCAACTGACTAAATAAATACAGAAAAATTCAACAAATGTATAGAATGAATAGAACAAATGTATTTTTCTGAAAAAAAAAAAGAAAGAAAGAGAGACATCATATTTTATCAGTCATAATGGCCATCCTCAGATTGTCTACAAGTAATAAATGCGGGAGAAGGCCTGGAGAAAACCATGCCCTCCTCATCTTCTCCATGGATGCGAACCTGGTCACAGCCACTAGAAAGAACAGGATGCAGTTAACTTTAAAGTAAAAAACCAGAGCCAGACTTCCCTGGTGGTCCAGTGGTGAAGAATCCATCTGCCAATGCAGAGGACACAGGTTTGATCCCTGGTCCAGGAAGATCCCTCTTGCTTCAGGGCAACTAAGCCCGTGTGCCACAGCTACTGAGCTTGAGCTTTCCAGTCAGTGTTCCATGACAAGAGAAACCAATGCAACGAGAGCTTGTGCACCACAATTTTAGCAAGCCAAGGTGCAGCAGCAATGAAGACCCAGCACAGCCCCCAAAATAAGTAATTTATTAAATAAACAAATAAATAAAACCAGAGCAGGCAGATCTGGTAATCCAACTTTTGCCCACGTCTCTAGAGAAAACATTAATTCCAACACACATGAACCCCAAAGTTCGAAGCAGCCCCGTGGACACAGGAGAGAATGTGGAAGTCTCCCAGATGTCCTTGGACACGGGAAAGACACAGGAATTTGGCTCTACAGAGGCAATGGACTCTCACTCAGCCTTAGGAAGAGAAGTAACCTGGACCTGATGACATCTGCACCAACATGATGAAGTTAGACATGGTCACACTATGTGATCTAATGCAGAGAGACAAAACCAAATACGAGAGGATACCACTCGTAGACAGAATATGAAAAGTGACGCATATAAACTGGTTATACACGCAGTAGAGGTTACCAGGTAAAACAAGGAACCTTTTGCTACAATAAGGGAAAGGTAAAGGGAAAGAACAAAGAGGTGCTTTGGATTCACATATGCAAATTCAAGTATGTTCACAGGAAGCTCTGCTGAGTGCTCTGGAATATTCCCAATGGAAGAAGAATCTGACAACGAATCCACACTTCCACATGAAGAAAAAAATCAAGTTGCTGTTCACCTCAAACCAAAGCAACGTTTAAAAAAACCACTACAATACTGTAAAGTAATTAGCCTCCAACTAATAAAAAAAAAAAAAACCAACCACCTAGATGCCACCACAAAATAAATGGTTACGTAAGGAAAGGAAAGAAAGAAAGAAATGCCTACTATATTCCCCTGAGGGCTCCGTGTCCTGGCTGATGTCACATTTCTGGAACCTGAGCCCTCTTGGATGCTAAGTCTGGACCCTGCAGGGGTCCAGTAGAGGCTGCCCAGGCAAGTGAGAACCAGCAGTGTCTCTTCCCCTTGGACTGGGACCCCAACCTGCAGATCCAGACCGGTCTGCCTACAGTAAACCCATGCTAGGTGCACCCAACACCTGGCAGACCCCCTGGGCTGCAAGAGCTGTTTATAATCCCTGCTCCACGTGTCCTGAGAATAGGGCTCCCATTTCCCATGACCATTCTTAGAGTCGCCCCACCTACAAGCGGCAGCATCCTCAGCGCAGCGGTTTTGCAGCGGTTGGGATATGTCTTCCGGGGTGAAGGGGACGGGCAGAGAGGCCAGGAGAGACAAGTCCGTGGGTCTCTGGGCTGGCACATTGCATTCGAACTCACAGCCTACAAACCAGCCTTTCACTAAGGCTCTGGTTGTCTGAGCAAGCCGAGGTGGGCTGGCAATGCTGCCGCCTTGTGGACAATTTTCAGAACTGCAACCTGGGACCCAGGGCTGAAGGGCACTTGCACATTCACAAGGCGTTTTTAGGGGCTGTCAATGTCACCTGCCGGAGAAGGCAATGGCACCCCACTCCAGCACTCTTGCCTGGAGAACCCCATGGACAGAGGAGCCTGGTAGGCTGCAGTCCATGTGGTCGCTAGGAGTCGGACACGACTGAGCGACTTCACTTTCAGTTTTCACTTTCATGCATTGGAGAAGGAAATGGCAACCCACTCCAGTGTTCTTGCCTGGAGAACCCCAGGGACGGGGGAGCCCGATGGGCTGCCGTCTATGGGGTCGCACAGAGTCGGATACGACTGAAGTGACTTAGCAGCAGCAGCAGCAGCAGCAATGTCACCTGCCCTCAAGACATCACCAGAGGTGGGTAACCAAAACAGGATTCGGAAACGGCAGACATGCCAGAAGCCCACTGAAACAGGTAAACTGACTCACAGGGTTTACTGAAACATACAAACACGAGACAGGTCAAGGGACACAAGTCTGTGGGGCTTTGTGCTGGCACACCGCACTCTAATCACCTTTCTCTAAGGCTCTGGTTGCCTGAGCAAGCCGAGGTGGGCAGGCGAAGTGCTGCCGCCTTGTGGACATTCTGAGAAACTGCAACCTGAGATCCAGCGCTGAGGGGCACTGAATATTCTGACAATGACACCTGCCCTCAAGGCATCTCTTGGGGTGGGTAACCGAAACGGAACTCAGAAGCCACAGACTTGCCTGAAGCCCACTGCAACAGGTAAACTGACTCACAGGGTTTAGTGAAATATAAAAACACGGGAATCATCAGGGAAATGCCCATCAAAATACCACTGAGGGCTTACTGGGTGGCTGACTGCTAGACAATCCACCTGCCATGCAGGGGAAACTATCAATTCCTCATACAGGGAGATGCCATATGCCGGGGATCAACAAACCTGAGACCCACGACTAGTCCCGTCCCGCACTCTCCAGCAGGTGCAGGCAACAAGAGAGGCCGCCACAATGAAAGCCTGCCCACCGCGAGTACAGAGGAGCCCCAGCTTGCCACTACTCGAGAGAAACCCGGGCAGCAAAGAACACCCAGCACTGCTGAAAGGAGTCAAATGACTAAATAAATACATAAAAATTCCACTAAATAAATGTATTTTTAAAAAACATGAGAGATAGACAGCAAGAGATGTCATATGTCAGCAGTCACAATGGCCATCCTTAGACTGTCTCAGTTCAGTTCAGTCACTCAGTCATGTCTGACTCTTTGCGATCCCATGTCTACTAGCCATAAATGCTGGAGAGGGCCTGGAGAACACTGTGCCTGCTTCAGCTTTTCCAGAGGTGGGATACTGGTCACAACCACTAGAAAGAACAGGATGGAGTTTAAAGTCTAAAACCAGAGCTAGCAGAAGATCTGTTAATCCAAATTCTGGCCAGATCTGTGGAGAAAATATTAATTTCAAGATACAGCACCCCACATTTCAGTGCAGCCCTCTTGATACAGGCCAGGACATGGTATCCTCCAAAATGTCCTCTGTATACAGAATGGAAACTGTAGTTTTTCAGTTCAGAAGTTTGATAGGTGGAGAAATCAGTTGCTACTCCTAGGGGAGCTATCAGACACACAGTTCCAATAGCTGGTTCCAACTGGTGTTGGAATGGTGTCCAATAAAAAACAAAGTCTCTAAGGACTTCCCTGGTGGTCCCGTGGATAAGATTCTGTGCTCCCAAAGCAGGGGGCCCGGTTCGATCCCAGGTCAGGGAACCGATATCCCACATACAGCAAGTACTGAGCTCAAGAGCCACCATGAAGACCCAGTGCAGACAAAATAAATACATAAAAATAAATAAACAAAACAAAGTCTCCAGCAGACAAGAAAAACACCTAGGCAGTTGACATGATCTGACTTTAAAACACAGGTGACATGGGAAGCCCCATATTCACACAGGTAGGGTAGGGAAGACGAAGTTACCTCCAAGAGAGAGGAAGTTACCATTGGAGAATCTGGAATTGAGAGCTGATTTTCATCAAATTTGGAAGGTATGTTATGATATGACAAACATCAGTCCCGTGGGATTCATGAAATTAAGGTTACAGTGTGAAAGGCACCTATTTTGACACTTAACCTCCAAGCAACTGAGATGGAGTACAAATGAGGAGCTTGTGTGACAACTAAGAGAAAATGTGATATTAAGGTGCTGTCCAAGAAAACAGTGCTTTCAATTATAAGCCAGGATCAGTATGAATAATTTTCAAATGACAGAAAACCCAAATCTATGTTGTTTAACTAAAGATGTTTATGGGCTCACGTGACTAATAAGTTGAGAGGTAAGTCTATGTCAGGTAAGCCTGGGCAAGTGGCTCAACTGATGTCACCAGGGGCCCAGGGTCTATTTCACCACTGTATTCTTAGTATTAGCCTCACCCTCATGATCCATATGCTGGACCCAGACTTCCCCACCCCAATAGAAAAGCTGTGGATACAACTCCAGGCCTCATACCTTCTTCCTACATACCCTACAAAGGAGGATAGAGAACATCTCCAGTGGTTGTTCTCAAAAAGAAAAGCCTCTCTCTTTCAGAAAGCCCAGTAAATATCTCTTCAGATCTCACTGGCTCTGTAGCCAAGGGGATAGGCAGGTTGATGGACTTAAGCTAAACAGGATCCACTCATGAAGCTGAAGGTGGAGACAGAGTTGAGCCGAGTGGATGAGAAAGGGTGCTTTCCCCCAAAACATTTGGGTTACTGTTCCCAGAGAAAAGGGGAATGGATGCTGGGAACCGAATAAAAGGTGACTGTTACAGAACCCTGGCTGAGGAACCACCAGACGTGCTCAGAATTGCAGATGCTGATTTACACTTGGGCTTCCCGGTTGGCTCAGTGGTAAAGATCCCATCTCCGAATGCAGGAGCCACAAGAGACGGGGGTTCGATCCCTGAGTCAGGAAGATCGCCTGGAGTAGGAATAGGCAGCCCACTCCAGTATTCCTGCCTGGAAAATTCCACGGACAGAGGAGCCTGGAGGGCCACAGTCCACGGGGTTGCAAGGAAGTCAGACACCACTGAGAACACATGCACATTTGCAACTGAGCAGCTTCTCACACAGGCATCTTTGTAACTAGCTCCAAGCGGCAAAACTGGAGGAATTTAATTATTCATTCTGCCAAGAGACTCCTGGCAGGCCAGCTAATTTTCACTGTGTGAAAAAAAAAAAAATCTACTCACTACTTTTCCATTTCCTCATTCTCTAGTCCTAGTTTTGAAATTTTTGAAGACACAATTGTACCACAATCAGTGACTGTTCTTAATATTTGCTAATTGCAATTTATTAGAAATTATCATCAATTTTTAAAGATAAACCCTTTCTATTTCTCCAAAATTTAAGAACTGAGTACAGTCTTATATCTGTGGATTCAAGCAATGGTGGATCAAAAAATATACAAAAAAAAAAAATTTACAACTTTCCCCAAACAAAATTTGAGTTTGCAGTGCACCCAGCAAGTATTTACATAGTATTTACATGGCATTTACAACTATTTACAAAGCACTTACATCATACTCAGTATAGGAGGATGTGCATAGATTATTTGCAAAACCATGGTATTTTCCTTTACTTTATCAAGCCGTGCCACTTGGCTTGTGGGACCTTAGTTTCCTGACTAGGGATCAAACCTGTGCCCCCTGCAGTGGGACTCCTAATCACTGGACGACCAGGGAAGTCCCCCATGACATTTTACATAAGAGACTTGAACATACGTGGATTTTGGGGTCACTGGGTGGGAGGTGTCCTGGAATCAATCCCCCGTGGATACCAAGGGACAACCGTATTAATTTTATCCCACCTCTGACTTTGAGATGTGTGCAGTGTCACTACAAATTGAAGGATCTTCCATGTTACAAATCCTTCATTGCAGACTATGGAAACTTTAATATCGGCTCAGGGTTTCCAAGAGCTTGTCTCTGGACCTCGGGTAAGGAAAAGGCCAGTTAGGAATTCTCTTGGTAGGGGTCATCTATCTCCACGTGCTATTTCTTAATCCTCTTGGAACACTTATCTTTTGCCATGTTTTGCTCATTCTCTCATTGTGACGGTTCGAAAATTTGTCTTGTCATTCCATCGCTCTGCCTACGTACATTTCCATCTTTGAGTTTCTAGGGTTCATCAACTTCCATGATGCTCTTCTGGAAGTCCAAACTGTTCCATTTCCATGGGTTCTTATTCCTATTCATTCTCTCTCTCCTCCAATTTAAGGTACTGACCTCATCTAACAATATGTATCAACTTCACTCTGGGAGGTTTTGAATATTTAGGATTTTAACAATCTCTGTAGTCGTAGTTGGAAAGTCAACCTTATTACAGCTGCCGCTTGCATAAAGTATCCATAGATAATGTTGCCAATTGCTCACTAACTGCTCTTTTCTTTTAAATACTTATTTATTTGGAGGTGCCAGGTTCATTGTAGCATGCAAATTCTTAGTTGCAGCATGTGGGATCTAGTGCCCTGGCCAGGGATTGAACCTGGGCCCCCTGCATTGGTAGCGCAGAGTCTTAGCCACTGTACTTCAGAAAGCAGAAGTTTCGTCCAAGCAGGCCTCTGGCTTCTCTTCCTTGCTCCTTCAACAATTATATTCACTGGTTGGGAACTATCCCCACATCCCTTAGAGGTACGGGGCCTCTCTCCACGCCAGGGAGAAGCTGTGTGCCTAACATTGTGTATGGCTTGTGTTCTGACTAGGACTCCCCTGGTGGCTCAGACGGTAAAGCGTTTGCCTACAATGCGGGAGACCAAGGTTCGATCCCTGGGTCACATTCCTTACATTCAAAGGGTTTCTCTCTGGTGTGAATTCTCCGGAGCTGAATCAAGTTTGACTTCCAACCGAAGGCGTTAGCACATTCTTGACATAGGCATGGTTTCATCCCAGTGTGAATCCTCTGATATACAATGCAATGCGATCTAAAACTGAAATTCTTCCCACATTCCTTACATCCATAGACCTTCTTTCCATTATGAACGCTCTGATGTTGATCAAAGTCTTCCTTTTGATCAAAACACTTGCCACATTCTTCACGTATATAGAATGCCTGTTCACTGAGGCTTTTCTGATGTATAAGGTGGGTGTTAACATTGGCATCCTCTGAATGCTCTTCTACTAAGATCATCTCATCTTTGACAATCACTGCTGTGATGTCCCATGCAGTGTTCTCCACACTTGCCCTATTTAGGGTAGTCAGGCCATCTCCCTACAATGCTTTTCTCCTCTTCACAGGCTTTTCCAAACTAGAATTCCTGGGAGCCACAGAACTGGGGTCCACTCAATAGCACTATGTGGTCCTGTGCCTGCTTGTGAATGTTCTTCAGGACAAAATGTTCTTTCTCACTCTTCAACACCCCCTCTGGAAGAAGAAAACAGAGCTGCAAATGTCATCGGTACCCATGACAGAGTGACTAAAGTCATCATGCAGTGTTAATATGTCCATTTTTTGCAAGTGCCACCCCTGTGTCTAAGCAGGAAGGAAGAAGGAATGTTGGGGGAAAGACCGGTAACACAGATGACCTGAAACTTGAGAGTAATAAGAATATAAAGGATAGGAAGGAGAGGTTCAGGAAGTTGTGATTCCATCAGTTCACCAAAATACAAAAACTTGTCACTCATTTTAAAATGTCAAGAAGAAATAGAAAAGACTAAAGTCTCTGCACATGCCCCTAGGAGCTGAAAGCCAATTCATATAGAAAAGTATCCTGATAGAGTAGAATTTCAAAGAGCTGACCCTGGGGCTCTGTTGGGAAATCACCATCTCTTACTTCCCTTCCCTCCTATCCATCATAGCCTTCTCTTTTTATAAGAATCAACAATGAGTCTCTCTATGACATCCATAAAAGTGGTCTCATAGCCTCACTCAGCCATTTCCAGAAGTCACTTCTAACTCTAATGATAAACACCTAAGGATAAAACTCTAATGGTAAAAATATGTAAAACACGTATTTACAAAGGTCCACTCTAATAAATTCTTCAGAATTAGTTACGCTCTGCCTCTTTGTAACTCCCATCCAAGCCTATAGAACTGTAGATCAATTCTACAATTTCCAAGGGAAACTGAGTAGGGACATGAGCTCTAAGAAGGCCCGCTGCAGGTCAGGGAGTTTGGGTTTTGCTCAAGGAATAAACTAGCAGTTAGCTTTCTGTCTAAAGCAGAGATGGGAAATTCCCTTGAGTGGTGGCGAGAGTAGGTGCTGAGATCCTGAGAGAATCCAGAGGACACTGTGGTTCCCTCCCCACATCCATTCTCCTCCCTCTCCCCGACTAGGGAGTAGCCAGGTCCTTTGGGTGGGGGTAATCCCAACTCCAGCTTCTAGCATAGGCCCCCACTGAGATAAGCTAAGCAAGCTCTCCCATCTGACTCACTACATGAGAGAACCGTTCAGGGACCAGCAATGCAGGCCAAGTCAATCATGCACAGCTTTCCCCTGGCTACGGGACCAAATTAGAGCTGGCATAAGACTTAAGGTGGTGCAGTAGACCAACACGTGGACTGAACTCACAGTGGTTAGAGCGTAAGGAAGGCCTGGCCTGTTCCTCCCCCAAGGTGTGAAGAAGCACAGTCCTGGTTACAACCACCAATCACCTTTCAGCCCTGAGAGGAGCCAGACTGCAGACAAACTAACATATGAGGAGACAGAAGAGCAGAGACTGAAATTCTGATCAAAATCTATGGACTTCCCAATTACACAAAACAATAAATTCCTCTTTATTATTCAACCTAGTTTGAACTGGGCTGTTACTTGCAATCAAGGGTATCCTAACATGGAAAGACTTCCAGACATGGCAAGGAACTGGGAGAATGGGAAATTGGAGGGCCCAGGTCAAGTTACACTGTGTCCATGGAACAGCCTCTGTGGGAAGATGATGAAGCAGGCCCAGGGAGGCAATAAAAGGACATAGTTTTTAGTAGGAAATTAGGAGCAGGGAAGCCCTGTGTTGGGCCTAGACAAATGCCAGGGCTTTCCTGCCAGAAATCCCTGAGGAACAGGAACTGTCTGGCTCAGGGTTATTTAGACTGCTTGATTTCTAATGATAAAAATGGCCATGATACCCTCAAAGGGCAGTCAGAATCTTCTGCTGGAAGATTATAAGCAGGCCAGGATAGTCTTAAAAAAAAAAAAAGGCCACCTCAGATCAGAAAGCAAACAGAAAAGTAGTCAGGGAGTGAAGATAAACGGTGGTCCTGAAAAGAACAGGGGAGATGGGGAAAAAGCAAAGAGATGTATGCAGATGGCACAGAGAGGAGCCAGGATGAATAAAGCAAGGACTCAAGAAGATGGAAAACCATGGGAACACAGAGGAAAACAAGGAATCCCACCAGTGTCTACAGCAGTAGGTTAAGAGAACACATACCTAGGACGACTTAAAGATCAAGACAAGGGATGTGCTCAGAAGACCAGCACGTGTCCTCTCTCACCTAGGAAGATGGCCCTCGGGCTCTCTCCATTCAGACCTTCTTGAGAAGCCAAGCTCCAGGGTGTTCCTCCTCGCTCCAGCTGGAAAATCAGAGCCGGTGTGGGAAATGGACACGCTGCCCGTTGGGAAGGAATGGGGACAGGCAGGTGAGCAGGGTGACACACGGCAACCCCAGGGCTCCTCCCAGGCCTGTCTTCAGGGATGGGAGGGGAAAGAAGGGAAGTTACTAGGGGGAACAAGAAAAGAAAGTCCAGCGAAAGGGGCAGGGGTACTCAGGTGAGAGGGGCCCGGAGGCTCACAAAGGTCAGGAAGCAGAGAGGAAGGGATGCTCAACAACAGCGTGAGTGAGCAAAGAGATGACTTCACTCATCGAGAAACTGGGCTTTCTTGTGCCCTCCCTCCCTAGAGCTCTCGAGTTCAGATGTCCGCAGGAGGATGCTTGCTATTGGGCTGTGTCTCCCAGACTGAGGTGCCAGGGAACTGAGGGCTCAGAGGGGCACCAGGAATCATCTCTCCGCATGTTGTACCCACAGCACATGGGTTAGAAGGTCAGAAGCTCTTAGCCGGGGGTAGGGATGTTCTATATGAGACCCAAATGGATGCCAGGACTTCCTGCTTCGCAGCTACCACTAAGGTTGTGTCGTTAGGAGTCCAGGAGCCTCGAGTTGCCGCTCAGTTGAGGGTTAGTTACCAAAGACCTCTGAGCTTTTGAGGAAGAAGGAGCCAAGAAATTCCAAAGGGTAGAGGCAGAGTCCAAAGGGAAAGATCCTTACCCAGGGAAGCCACAGCCCGATAATTCTCCAGCATCACCTCCCTGTACAGGGCCCTCTGAGTAGAGGCCAGGTGGTCCATTCATTCTCAGAGAAGTAGATGACCATGTCCTCAAGGGTCACTGACTCCTGAAACGACACGTGTTTAAATGCCACAGGACAGTCCCAGGACCCGGGCCTGGAGTCGGGGTAGACGAGGCAGTAAGAGGTACTGGAGGGGACTGCCCACTGAGTTTCTGGATTCTGAATGTCTAAGAAAACCCTCAGCAGATTTTTGCCCCCTACTTATAAAGATATAAGGGGTCAGCCACCAATCTTCTCACATCTCTTCATTTTCACATTGGCAAACATTCTCTCCTCTTCTTCATGAGTCTCTGCAAGTTTTCTCTTTTCATTCCCTCATGAGCTCTGGGTGCCATCCTTCTCTACCATGTGTCCTTCTCCTTCAGAGGTCACCAACCCTTGATAACAAGAGCAACAACCACTGACTGAGCCTGTGCCCAGCACTATACAAACACTACTTTGAGTATGTCTTACAGCCTATGAGGAGGGTATCAGGTCCGTTTTATAGAAGAGAACCTGAGGCTCAGAGATTAACTTCCCCCAAGTTACAGAGTTCTGAGACACAACTTAAGCCGGCTTGACTCTCTGGCTCTCACCTGCCACGGCACACTGCCTTCTACCCGCACTCCTGCCAGTCCTGCTGCCCTGCGAGGGACTCTTGCTCTTCCCTCCCTCCCAGTCACTTCCAGCAGCCAGAGAGGCAGCTAAGGACACCTCAGACACTCAGGCTTCTGGAGAGGCTCTACTCAAAAGGGCAGTGCCCATCTGTGACTACTCCTTGCACATTCCCACCCGATACACTCCCTAACACCCTCAAAGACTTCGGCTGGCTCACCTTTGCCTACCCAAAAAAGTCCAAGTCCTCTGCCATGCAGACAACTCCAGTCACTGTTCAGGGACCCGGCTGACTTCCCAAGGATCATCTCTGCATGACCACCCTCATGCCCGATCCTGTCATCATTCTCTTCTGAACCCAAACTTTTTCCTTGTCCAGCTCTGTGCCCTTAGACCTGCAGCCCCCCACTCCCCACGCTGCCTGAAGATCCAGATCCTTCCTTGTATTCATCTCAAAGTGTTAAGTGAAAGTTTAAAGTGTTAGTGGCTTAGTCATGTCCAGCTCTTTGTGACCCCATGGACTGTAGCCCGCCAGGCTCCTCAGTCCATGGGGATTCTCCAGGCAAGAATACTGGAGTGGGCAGGCAGCCATTCCCTTCTCCAGGGGATCTTCCTAACCCAGGGATCGAACGCAGGTCTCCCACATTGCAGGCGGATTCTTTACCATCTGAGCCACCAGGGAAGCCCATTCATCTCAAGACCCACCTAAAACAAAACTAGCTCTGTAAAACCAGTCGTGGAAGTTCTGGCCATTCATCACCACGCGCAGCGGTCTGTGGACACCTCTACCCTAGCACTGGCTCAGGCCTGTGCATCTGCTTCCCCTGCAGCCGCACCTGGGGAATGACAGATCCACCCTGCCCCTGCCGGTTCCTCAGGTCCCTCCACTCAGGACTGTATCCCAATTTCCCCGTTGCCACACTGCCTGCTTTCCGCCCCTCATCTGGGCCTACAGCCAGCTTCCTGGTATCGGCTCACCTTTGACAACGTGGGCTGTCCCAGCAGCAGCTTGAGCACTGGGCCGAAACGGGCCCACTTCCCAGGGCCATGGGCCGCCCTCCGGGGAAGTAAGAGCTCGCCGGGTCAGACAGGGGGCGGCCGGGTGTCTGGGAGGAAGGCTCTAGAACAGCTCGGGGCTGACATACCAGCCATCGGCCCGGGAGCGGACCCGGAAAGACTCAGGCCTCACGCCCCAGCCAGCCCCACATGCAGGTCTCCACGTTCTGTGGTGGCCAGATCGCTGCGTGCGAGTGGCGGAGTTTGCAGCACTCCTGCCATTCCAGCTTCTCGAGGACCACGGAGGGCTCCGCGACTCTGTGGTCCTCCGCCATGTGCAGTAGGAGAGGAGAGGGGCCCAGCTCTCCCAGAGACACTGACGCTGTAGAATTCTTCCCTGACCCTTTTCTTCCCACTGACCATTCTTCTCCACCTCGTTGCACCTTTGCAGGCTAGATGCTGATACAAGATAGCCCACACTTCACTTGATTAGACCTGTTCACATATCCGACTGTGTCCTGGATATGCTCACCTTTGTGTTTCTAATATCTGCCCAAAATCTAGCACTTCTTAGGACCCAATTTCTTCAAGTGTCATAGGATGTCTATTGAGTAAAAGGATGATTAAATGTTGAACCAGTTTTTCAGCTGAAGTGAAGTGAAGTCGCTCAGTCGTGTCCGACTCTTCACAACCCTGTGGACTGTAGCTCACCAGGCTCCTCCGTCCTTGGGATTCTCCTCCAGGCAAGAATACTGGAGTGGGTTGCCATTGCCTTCAGTTGAAGTAAAGCCCAAAAAGAGGAAACAATTTACCTAATCTCACAGAGTATGCTAGGAAGCTAAGCTTTTAAAGAAAGTTGTGGAAATAAAGGAAGACCTCAGAGATGAGAACAAGCAATGGCTATTTATTCAGAGATCAGCCGCCATACTTGCGTTTGTCAGAGAAGTGGAAAGTTTGATAGCAGGAAAAAAGGAAGGCTTCATGTATGTGCTCATTAAAGATTGTAAGCACAAGGGCTTACTAGAAGCAAAGCATCTTACGTGATTGGTTGGGAGGCATTATTCAGATTCTGACTGTTTAGGGCTGATTACTACAGGGGTTACCTTGGCTTCCTGGACTGATTGCTACAGATAGTAGGTCTGACCCCTTGGATTGATTATTGACAGTAGTGCGTTGGTTTTCTGGACAGACTGCTGCAGATTGAGAGTCAGAGTTCTATTTTTCTACATGGTCTGGACATTGTCCATTTGTATATTCAGTCTCTAGGGTGAACAAAGTAGGAAGAAGATGTCTGCTTCACAGGAATTCAAATTCGGATTCACATACCTCAGGTACTGGAGCTTACAGATACCATACCTATAGAAAGTTACAAAGAAGCCCTCGTATGAACTCCCAGGATTATTGGTTGGTTGGTTGGTTTCTAAGAGAATAACTTAGAAGTTACTAAGTTATGAGTAACTCATAAAAGGACAATAGCGGATAGTCTGTGGGTACTGAGAAGGAAGCAAACACTCTTAACTTGGGGAAGGTCATTATGAAGGGTGAGCATACAACAGTTTAATTTGTTGTGTGTTCATCCCATGATTTTCCTCAGGACCAGTTGGAGAAAACTGAACTGGTGAGAAAACAACTGTGGGAGTTGAGCTCAGAATAAGGAGCCCTCAAATACCTGATTATCAAGTTAGGGTCCACCTGAAAAGAGGTACTTATGGCTATGATGAGTGTTTGGTTCATATTTTTTTTAGAAAACTAAAGAAGCAAGGAAGAGTCTATCACCTTTAATCCCATATTTTTACTCTCTGTTATTCTTCTGTCAAATACATGGCAGCAGGCAAGGTCAAGGCCGAGTCCTAATTGATTTGGCCAGTAAAGATACAATGTCATTTTGAGATTCATATAATGTATTAATTACAAAAACAGCAAAAGGAAGAGTAGGCAAACATCCCAATCCCCCAGGTCCTTGTCCCACACACCAAAAACAATGACACGGAAGCAAAAGCGGGCTGGATGACTGCAACATGGGTTGTGGGATACACCTTGCTGAGGGGTCAATTTTAGACTGCAGCTAAACAGCGTTTATGTTGTTGTTGTTCAGTCACTAAGTTATGTCTGACTCTTCGCAACCCCATGGACTGCAGCACTCCAGGCCTCCCTGTCCCCGACCATCTCCCGGAGTTTGCCCAAGTTCATGTCCACTGATGCCATTCAACCATCTCATCCTCTGTCACCCTCTTCTCCCTCTGCCTTCAGTCCTTCCCAGCATCAGGGTCTTTTCAAGTCAATCAGCTGTTCACATCAGGTGGCCAAAGTATTGGAGCTTCAGCATCAGACCTTCCAATGAGTTTTCAAAGGGTTGATTTCCTTTAGGATTGACTGGCTTGATCTCCTTGCAGTCCAAGGGACTCTCAAGAATCTTCTCCAGCACCACAGTTCAAATGCATCAATTCTTCAGCACTCTGCCTTCTTTATGGTTCAACTCTCACAACTGTACATGACTACTGGAAATTAGTTAACAGTGTTATAGTCTACAGTCAAACCAGAGAAGAGTGGGAGAAAAGTCTCATTACTTATCAGAATCTGGGAGGCAATGAGAAACTGTCTCATAACAGCCTCCCACAGGGATAGGGACAGAAGTGGGAGATGGCCTGAAAAGCTTGTAAAGATCCTCTCATGTTCTGGAAGGATCACAAGGTGATAAGACTCAGATTAGCTATAGTTCAAGGCTTTGCCTGCATGTCCTATATGTTGGCCAAGCCAATAGATATGAGTGAAACTGCCAGAGCACCATGGTAGAGCCAGTTCTCCTACAGCTTTACCTCCTAACTTTTTGCCATGCAACATGTGCAATTTTAGTTCCCTGACCAGGGATCAAAACCATGCCCCCTGCATTGTAAGCATGGATACTTACCCACCGGACCACCAGGGCAGTTCCTAAATCCTGACTTCTAACACATAAAGAATTCTCAGAAGCAGGTCAGCACATAGGTCACCAAATACTCTAATTCATTGCAGTGAAAGAGGACTGGGCCAAATATATCACATTTGTCTTAGGCAGCATTGGACTAGAGTGACCATGATCGTGACCCACAGTAGAATAACCCACGGTAGGAAAGACCACGGTGAGGCTCCACATCCAGGACTAAATGTGTCATTAATCCATGTGCGGAAAGAGAAACTGGCAATGGCACATATCTCAGCTTAACTGGCCAGTGAGAAATCCAGGGCAATACAATTGTCCATCATCATTCATGCTAGAGAATTTAGGAAAATCAGTGATCTGTGAAAAATGTACAAGAGACTCCAACAGTAACTGTATGAAGCTAAAGGTAATTATGTCAATGTCTAGAAAGTTAATTCTGTTCTGCTGTTTTTTGATGAGACTGTTCCTTTCTGGAGTCAGTGGCTGTTGGGAGGATTCTGAAAACTTTTAAAATAAGATAATTCACTGGCCAGTAGTCAAATTGAGGACAGTGGCAAAAGCCTGGGTTAAATTGGCCAGATGTCCTATAGACAAAAGCTAAGATAGATTAATGATCTCTGCCTCTGCTCCTGACTTCCCAGAGTCTAAGGTGTTTTTATCTTCCAAACCAGGATTGTTCCTCTCCTCCCACAGCCATAAGACCATTACACCCAGTCTCTGGAACAATCACTTCACCTTTTCCCCAATCCTCCCCACATCTTCTCATACTATACACTATAGCTCATCCCTAGTTAGCTAATAAGTTCCTCTCTTATATAATATATAACACCCAAGACCATCTCCCACCCTCTGACATGTAAGCCATGCCAAGACCACATTAGAATTATCACCTTGTAAATTCCTGGTCACTCTTTGTGACCTCATGGACTATATAGTCCATGGAATTCTCCAGGCCAGAATATTGGAATGGGCAGCCTTTCCCTTCTCCAGGGGATCTTCCCAACCCAGGGAGCGAACCCAGGTCTCCCGCATTGCAGGCGGATTCTTTAGCAGCTGAGCCACCAGGGAAGTCCAGGAATACTGGAGTGGGAAGCCTATACCTTCTCCAGGGGAATCTTCCCAACCCAGGAATCAAATCGGGGTCTCCTTCACTGCAAGTGGATCCTTAACCAGCTGAGCTACCAGGGAATCCCTACAATTATCTATAATTGCCCTAATCTAATTACATCTGTAATTTTTCATTTGAGTACTAATTTCACTATATGCCATAACCTTTGGTTTTCATTTTCATTCATCTCAAGGTGTTTTCTAATTTCTCTTGTAAACCTTTCTCTCAGGAAAGCATTAGGAAGCTTGTACATAGCTTCTTGCAGACTCCATGTGTGTCTTTTCCCCTGATGATTTGACTATGTATCTTTAATACACCACTGTAATAAATTTCAGTTATGAGTAAAACTATAGGCCAAGTCCTCTGAGTTCTTCTAGGCAATTCTCTGAATGTGAAGGTGGTCCCGGAGGTCCATGATGTGGGTTATGGGAATTAGACTCCGTAACAAATGTTAAGCATTTCGCTTAATTCTTGGCTCATGCTAAATTCTTAAAAATGGTAAAAATCTTAAATGGTAAAAATGCAAGCAGTCATGGTGGGAAGAGCCATGACCAGCAGAGGGCCATGAACAGGACAGAGACAAAAGCTCCCAGATTTACTGCCATAGAGTGCCTCAGACTGAGAACCCCCAAAGTGCCGACCTAAAGACGCCATTAGGCTCAGGGCATGGCAACGGAAATGCGTCACCGGCCTTCCGGCCCCCAGGCCCGAGGTCCCTCCAGCGAGCTGGAGCCCAGAGGACACTTCTGCAGGTCGTTGATCCTCCCACATCAGTTCAGTTCAGTCGCTCAGTCATGTCCGACTCTTTGGGACCCCATGGACTGCAGCACACCAGGCCTCCCTGTCCATCACCAACTCCAGGAGTCTACTCAAACACATGTCCATTAAATCTGTGATGCCATCCAACCATCTCATCCTCTGTCCTCCCCTTCTCCTCCTACCCTCAGTCTTTCCCAGGATCAGGGTCTTTTCAAATGAGTCAGCTCTTCGCATCAGGTGGCCAAAGTATGGCGTTTCAGCTTCAGCATCAGTCCTTCCAATGAATATTCAGAACTGATTTCCTTTAGGATTGACTGGTTGGATCTCCTTGCAGTCCAAGTGACTCTCAAGAGTCTTCTCCAACACCACAGTTCAAAAGCACCAATTCTTTGGCACTCAGCTTTCTTTATAGCCCAACTCTCACATCCATAAATGACTACTGGAAAAACCAAAGCTTTGACTAGATGGACCTTCGTCAGCAAAGTAATGTCTCTGTTTTTTAATATACTGTCTAGGTTGGTCATAACTTTCTTCCAAGGAGTAAGTGTCTTTTAATTTCATGGCTGCAGTCACTATCTGCAGTGATTTTGGAGTCCCCAAAAATAAAGTCTGTCACTGTTTCCACTGTTTCCCCATCTATCTGCCATGAAGTGATGGAACCGGATGCCATGATCTTAGTTTTCTGAATGTTGAGTTTTAAGCCAACTTTTTCACTCTCCTCTTTCACTTTCATCAAGAGGCTCTTTAGTTCTTCTTCACTTTCTGCCATAAGAGTGGTATCATCTGCATATCTGAGGTTATTGATATTTCTCCCAGCAATCTTGATTCCAGCTTGTGCTCCATCCAGCCCAGCGTTTCTCATGATATACTCTGCATATAAGTTAAATAAGCATGGTGACAATATAGAGCCTTGACGTACTCCCTTCCCCATTTGAAACCAGTCTGTTGTTTCATGTCCAGTTCTAACTGTTGCTTTCCTGACCTGCATAGAGATTTCTCAGGAGGCAGGTCAGATGGTCTGGTATGCCCATCTCTTTCAGAATTTTCCACAGTTGATTGTGATATACACAATCAAAGGCTTTGGTGTAATCAATAAAGCAGAAGTAGATGTTTTTCTGGAACTCTCTTGCTTTGTCAATGATCCAGCAGATATTGGCAACTTGATCTCTGGTTCCTCTGCCTTTTCTAAATCCAGCTTGAACATCTGGAAGTTCACAGTTCATGTACTGTTGAAGCCTGGCTTGGAGAATTTTGAGCATTACTTTACTAGTGTGTGAGACTGAGTGCAATTGTGCAGCAGTTTGAGCATTCTTTGGCATTGCCTTTCTTTGGTATTGGAATGAAAACTGATCTTTTCCAGTCCTGTGGCCACTGCTGAGTTTTCCAAATTTGCTGGCATGTTGAATGAAGCACTTTCACAGCATCATCTTTCAGGATTTGAAATAGCTCAACTGGAATTCCATCACCTCCACTAGCTTTGCTCGTAGTGATGCTTCCTAAGGCCCACTTGACTTCACATTCCAGGATGTCTGGCTCTAGGTGAGTGATCACACCATCGTGGTTATCTGCGTCATGAAGATCTTTTTTGTACAGTTCTTCTGTGTATTCTTGCCACCTCTTCTTAATATCTTCTGCTTCTGTTAGGTCCATCCCATTTCTGTCCTTTATTGAGCCCATCTTTGCATGAAATGTTCCCTTGGTATCTCTAATTTTCTTGAAGAGATCTCTAGTCTTTCCCACTCTATTGTTTTCCTCTATTTCTTTGCATTGACCACTGAGGAAGGCTTTCTTCTCTCTCCTTGCTATGCTTTGGAACTCTGCATTCGAATGGGTTTATCTTTCCTTTTCTCCTTTGCCTTTTGCTTCTCTTCTCAGCTATTTGTAAGGCCTCCTCAGACAACCATTTTGCCTTTTGCATTTCTTTTTCTTGGGGATGGTCTTGATCACTGCCTCCTATACAATATCACGAACCTCTGTCCATAGTTCTTCAGGCACTCTATCAGATCTAATTGCTTGAATCTACTTGTCACTTCCACTGTATAATCATAAGGGATTTGATTTAGGTCATACCTGAATGGTCCGGTGGTTTTTCCTACTTTCTTCAGTTTAAGTCGGTGAATTTGGCACAAAAGAGTACAGAATCTGAGCCACAGTCTTCTTTTTGCTGACTTAGGTATAGAGCTTCTCCATCTTTGACTCCAAAGAATATAATCAATCTGATTTTGGTATTAACCATCTAGTGATGTCCATGTGTAGAGTCTTCTCTTGTGTTGTTGGAAGAGGGTGTTTGCTATGACCAGTGTGTTCTCCTGGCAAAACTCTATTAGCCTTTGCTCTGCTTCATTCTGTACTCAAAGGCTCCCAGACTGCCTTGCAAATCCATTGTGATGCCACCTCGACCCTACCCCGGAGCTGTGGCCAGACTGTGTAAGGCTGAGGCTTGCCATAGGCTTGCAGTGCGCACTCTGGACCACTGGGTCCTAGCCACTCCAGGGGGTTGGGAGGGCAGCGCCTGGGCCAATACCCTGAGGCAGGCCACCGTTCAGTGGCCCTGGTGGGCTAGTCCCATACACAAGGGTGGTTGGACCTGCTGGCATGAGAAGAGTCCAGTGCAGCGGTGATGCATCAGAGCTCAAATTCACACTGAGCTGAAAACTCCTGGTCTGAACACTCTGCAACACTGGCCCTCTTGGGATGACCCTGCCACTTGCTTTAGAAGAATGGCCCCTATATCCTTGTACACAGCAGACATTTACCTGGTCTTGCCATCCTCCACATCCTTGCACCTCCTGATCAGTGCGACCTCCCTGATTCCCCACCCTCCTTCCTGTTCTGCCCTTCTTTGTAGCACTTAACACAATTGTGATTATATGCTTCTTTGGTGGAAGCCATAAACTCCAAGAGGGCAGGGACCAGGTCTGCCTCATTTAGGGTTGTAGCAAAATTTCTGGTTTAAGTGCACAGGAAGTATCGGTTGAATGGATAGATGGGGCTGTTCCAAGAAAGGAGGAAATGACTGGATGAGTGGGTGTGAGTGAATGAATGAATAAATGAAGGAGAGAATGAATGAATAAATGAAGGAAAGAATGAATGTAAAGTAGTGGTGGTGGTGGTTGTATAGTTGCTAAGTGGTGCCTGACTCTTTTGTGACCCCATGGGCTATCCATGGCATTTTTCCAGGCAAGAAAACTGGAGTGGCTTGGCATTTCCTTCTCCAACGGATCTTCCTGACCCAAGAATGAATCCATAGCTCCTGCATTATAGGTGGGTTCTTTACTGCTGAGAAGCAAGGTGGGGCTGCCATCCATTAAAAACTGAGAGATAGGGACTTCCCTGTTGATCCAGTCATTAAGACTCCAAGCTCCCAAACAGCAGCACAGGTTTAATCCCTGGTAGGGAAACAGATCCCACACATCAAATGGTATGACCCCCCAAAAAAAAAACAACACACACACACACAAACAAAAAAACCCGAATCCCAAAATACAAAAAAATACTAAGGGACAAAGTTCAGCTCTTTGGACTTGACCCACAGTTTCTGACCTTTTTCTTTTTTTGGCGGAGCATCAGCCTGTGGGGTCTTAGTTCCCTGACCAGGGACTGAACCCGGGCCACAGCAGTAAAAGCTCTGAGTCCTAATCACTGGGCCGCCAGGGAATTCCCTTTCTGACCATATCCTAAGGATGGGAGAGTTGTTGGAGCTGAGTTGCTGTGGTTGCCCTGAGCAACCAGAGAGGACTTCGTGGATGCTGAGTGTGGATATTTTCAGCTTCCTGCTAGGAGGAGCTGCACATGGGAACTCACTCAAGAGACACCATATGATTGTCTGAAGAGACAAAGTCCCTGTTTGCAGGTCATTTCAGAAGTTAAAGAGTAACTTGAGGGTTGTCACAACTGATTGAATTCAGTCTGAACCTCACATATTGCAACAATGAGCTAGGCTGCTGAACTAAAGTCTTAAGAGTCAACAGTACAGTTTTCTCCTTCTTAGGCCTGCTGACAGGGTCTGGGCCTGACATGCCACTGAAGGTCCCCAGTTAATGTTCAACTCACCTCACCCAAGCCAGGGCCACTGTCAGAAAAAGTCCCTGCTACACTCTGAACCTTGATCCTTCTTGTGAAGTAACGCAGTTGGTTTGAAGCCCCTATCATCTCTGACATTTCATAATTCCCACTCTGTATTTCTTGGTAGAGAAGTGTGCAAGCCAGTTGGCGAGAGACTCAGAGACTCAAGTCTGATCCTGTGCTTGAAGGAGAAGAATCCCTGTTTGGGAGATTTTGTGGGTCTTTTAAAGAATGAGGAGGAGGTGGATGTGAAACTTAGTAAGTACTTGGTGCATTTCTGTTGAAGGAACTAGCAAATTAATGGATATACGAAGTGAAGAGTAAATAGAGGAATGAGCTGTCAGTAAGTCACAAGAGTGGGGCATCAAAAAAGTCTTGGCAGAGAAAATGCTGGAGCTGTGTCCGGAAAGGTTGGAACAAAGTCTGAAGCTTGTGCGGGGGCTGTGACCACAGCAAGAGGCTTCCTTCTGGCCTTCTTCCTGCTCCCTCCCACCTGCTCCTCTCACATGACTAGGTCCTAACAAAATCGAGGGGAAAGATTTGCTCTTGGGTACTCTCTCACCAGGCTTATTTATGGCAACTTGCAGCCACAGGGCAAGGTCCAGGTAGGAAGACCTTTCTATCCCCACCTTGTCCTCCCAAACCCTCTGGCACTCAGAGAACAGCACATCCAGAGCTCAACCTGGAAGAGATCAGCCATGGTGCTCTGGGGTCCGGTGCTGGGAGCCCTGCTGGTGGCCACTGTGGGATATCTGTGCCTTCGGGGGCTGCTCCGGCAACGAAGACCCAAGGAGCCCCCTCTGGATAAGGGCCCCGTGCCCTGGCTGGGCCATGCCATGGCTTTCCGGAAGAATATGCTCCAATTTCTGAGGCATATGCAGGCCAAACATGGGGACATATTCACAGTACAGCTGGGGGGGCAGTACTTCACCTTTGTCATGGACCCTCTCTCTTTTGGCCCCATCCTCAAGGATGCACAGAGGAAGCTAGACTTTGTGGAGTATGCGCAAAAACTGGTGCTAAAGGTATTTGGATACCGCTCCGTGGAGGGAGACTACAGGATGATACACTCAGCCAGCACCAAGCACCTCATGGGGGAAGGCTTGGAGGAGCTCAACCAAGTCATGTTAGACACCCTGTCCTTGGTTATGCTGGGGCCCAGAGGCCCCAGTCTGGACGCCCGCTGCTGGCATGAGGATGGCCTCTTTCACTTCTGCTACAACATCTTGTTCAAGGCGGGCTACCTGAGCTTGTTCGGCTACACAAAGGACAAGGACCGGGACCTGCTGCAGGCAGAGGAGCTGTTCCTGGAGTTTCGCAAGTACGACCGCCTGTTCCCCAGGTTTGTTTACTCCCTGCTGGGGCCCCAGGAGTGGCTGGAGGTGGGTCGGCTCCAGCGTCTCTTCCACAAGGCACTCTCGGTGGAACACAACCTGGAGAAGTACGGCGTAAGCAACTGGATCACCTACATGCTTCAGTTTCTGAGGGAGCAGGGCGTCTCCCCGGCCATGCAGGACAAGTTCAACTTCATGATGCTCTGGGCCTCCCAGGGTAACACAGGGCCTACCTCTTTCTGGGCCCTCTTGTTCCTCCTGAAGCACCCAGAGGCCATGCGGGCTGTGAGGGAGGAGGCCACCCGGCTCCTGGGAGAGGTCAGGCTGGAGGCTAAGCAGTCCTTCAAGTTCGGGGCCCTGCATCGCATGCCGGTGCTGGACAGCGTGATGGAAGAAACACTGCGGCTGAGGGCCTCGCCCACTCTCCTCAGGGTGGTGAACGATGACCAGGTCCTGCAGATGGCCAGCGGGCAGGAGTGCCTGCTCCGCAGTGGAGACATCCTGGCCCTCTTCCCTTACCTCTCAGTGCACATGGACCCCGACATCCACCCCGAGCCCACCGCCTTCAGGTATGATCGCTTCCTCACCGCCAGCGGCAGCCGGAAAGTAGACTTCTACAAGGCAGGCAAGAAGATCCGCCACTACACCATGCCGTGGGGCTCGGGCGTCTCCATCTGCCCTGGGAGGTTCTTGGCCCTCAACGAGATGAAGCTCTTTATCCTGCTCATGGTCATGAACTTTGACCTGGAGTTGGTGGACCCTGACACCCCTGTGCCACCCGTGGACCCCCAGCGCTGGGGCTTTGGCACCACACAGCCCAGCCATGAGGTGCGATTCCGCTACCGCCTGCGGCCTGCAGAGTGAGCTCTGTCCAGGCGGCCGCGAGTGTGGCTGCGGGGGCTCCCGTGGCTCTCTGCCTCCTCTCACCCACCCCTCTAAAGCCCCAGACCACCCCCCTCCTCTGTCCTGCTTGTCGTCCCTGCTCTTTGGCATCCTTCTGGTCACCTCACAGGCTGATACTTCTCTCTTGAAACACTGTCTGTCATGGCGGATGCTGCATAATTCACCTCTCACAGGAAGTCCAGGGAAGGGAAAGCATCTGTGGGTAACTCAGTTTGGGGGATAATACATGCCATGACAAATCTCATGCAGACAGACACCGGTTACGGTGAGTCATGTAGCATCTTGCAAACATTGGTCTCCACCCTCCCGCTCCACTTTGCTTGTTTTCCTCAACACTTACCCTGTGGGATTCAGGATCTAGAACAGTGTCATCCGATAGCCATATGAGGTAAGCCACACGTGTAATATTTCTCCTAGCTGACATGTTTTTAAAAGTAAAAAGAAACTGGTGAAATTCATTTTTCTACTGTATTTTGCGTGTCCTGATGTATCTAAAATATTAGCATTTCATGCAAATCAAAACCACAATGAGGTACCATTACACACCAGTCAGGATGGCTGCTATCCAAAAGTCTACAAGCAATAAATGCTGGAGAGGGTGTGGAGAAAAGGGAACCCTCTTACACTGTTGGTGGGAATGCAAATTAGTACAGCCACTATGGAAAACAGCGTGTAGATTTCTTAAAAAGCTGGAAATAGAACTGCCATATGACCCAGCAATCCCACTTCTGGGCATACACACCGAGGAAACCAGATCTGAAAGAGACACGTGCACCCCAATGTTCATCGCAGCACTGTTTATAATAGCCAGGACATGGAAGCAATCTAGATGCCCATCAGCAGACGAATGGATGAGGAAGCTGTGGTACATATACACCATGGAATATTACTCAGCCATTAAAAAGAATTCATTTGAATCAGTTCTAATGAGATGGATGAAACTGGAGCCCATTATACAGAGCGAAGTAAGCCAGAAAGATAAAGAACATTACAGTATACTAACACATATATATGGAATTTAGAAAGATGGTAACGATAACCCTATATGCAAAACAGAAAAAGAGACTCCAATGTATAGAACAGACTTGTGGACTCTGGGAGAAGGCGAGGGTGGGATGTTTCAAGAGAACAGCATCGAAATATGTATATTATCTAGGGTGAAACAGATCACCAGCCCAGGTTGGGTGCATGAGACAAGTGCTCAGGCCTGGTGCACTGGGAAGACCCAGAGGGATCGGGTGGAGAGGGAGGTGGGAGCGGGGACCGGGATGGGGAATACATGTAAATCCATGGCTAATTCATTTCAATGTATGACAAAAACCACTGCAATGATGTAAAGTAATTAGCCTCCAACTAATAAAAATAAATGAAAAAAATAAATAAATTTTTAAAAAAAAGAAAAAATAAAATAAAATAAAATATTAGCATTTCATTGGGGAGTCATACAAAAGTATTAATGAAATATTTTTACATTTCTTTTTCCCTCCAAAATCTGGTCTGTACTTTTCAACCCTTCACACTGAGTGCTCAATAGCCGTGTGGCTTCTGTATTGGACAGAGCAGCTCTAGAGAAGGGTGGCCTTTCATGGAAGAGATATGCAAGGTCCCTCTTACCTGCCCTCCTCTCCCCTCTGCACCCCCACCTTGGGGTGATTTCAACCCCTCACTTGGTTTCCGCAACCATCGCTAAGCTCAGAGCTCTCTCCTACCTCCAGACTCCCAGTCTCCCCACAGCAGTCTCAGAGCACCTCTGCTACAGTTCAGCCCACACACAGAACTCAGCATCTGTCCCCCCGACCTCTGCCCTGAACCATGCCCATCTCCTGGTTTCCCTGCCTCTCTGCTCAGGACACCATCATCCACCCATCCACTTAGGCAGATACAGAGGACACACCCTCAGCCCCTCCCTTTCTCTCCCCCACAGGGAGAGAGTTCTGTCATCTGACCCCTGTGGTGCCAACGAACCATGTCCCCGCTTCCCCACCCCAGTTACCCTTCTTAGAGCTCAAACTCAGCATCTCTCTCCACATGGGGCCTCTGGACTCTCTGTTTACCCTACTGCCAGAGACTTTTTTTTCCAAAAGCACCTCTGAGCATCCCCTTTTTACTTTTCTGGCTCCTCATCACCTCCCCACAGTTGATATTTAAGTTTTGCCACATGTAGTCCCCGAAGTTTCAATCCAGTGCAATTCAGCTTTGACAACTTTCTCCAGTGGAACTGTCTGTAAGTACAGTGCTCGTTTTCACTCTTAGCCCTGGGACCGGCTATTCCTGGAAACCTCTTGAACCTCACCCATTCCATCCTCTGGCCAGAGATGGCCTCCACCCCACCTCCTCCCTGGAGCACCCCTACCACTGTGTTTATCACAGCCCATCTGTCACGTCATTGTTTTCTGTGTCCTGTTTTCTGCCTCCTGCACCTGCTTCAGATGCAGCCCACAGCATTTGGTATCTTATTCCCTTCATCTCTGACCTTAATTCCCTAAATGTAGATTAAATTACAGAAACCTGACTTCCAGTCTTGTCTACTTTGGCTCATGTCCTCCTGGCCTCCATTCCATCCAACCAAAAATTTTTTTCTGAGCAACACTGTCTGCCAGGCTGTGCTGGGTTTTGCAGGTGGCTCTGTGAGGTGGGCGGAGAAGGCAATGGCACCCGACTCCAGTACTCTTGCCTGGAAAATCCCATGGACGGAAGAGCCTGGTAGGCTGCAGTCCATGGGGTCATTAGGAGTCAGACACAACTGAGGGACTTCACTTTCACTTTTCACTTTCATGCATTGGAGAAGGAAATGGCAACCCACTCCAGTGTTCTTGCCTGGAGAATCCCAGGGATGGGGAGCCTGGTGGGCTGCCATCTATGGGGTCGCACAGAGTCGGACACGACTGAAGCGACTTAGCAGCAGCAGCTGGGAGGTGGGAGAAGGCAGTGATGCTTTAGAAGCTCAGGAAAACAGAGATGGCACCGTGGCTCAGGGGCTCCCTGGGAAAGGCTTCTCGGTGGACGTGTCAGTGCGCAGGGAAGATGCCGGCCGTGGGAGACATGGAGCGTCCAGGCAGGGCATATCCGTTGAGAATCCCTTAGATCACAGGTAACAGGAGACCACCACCCCAAACTGAAAGGACATCCATTGGTTTGTGTCACTATCAAGTGCAGGCTTCGGATGTCCTTCAGCCGGGCCTTGATTCTGGGGCTTTGGCATTGCCCCCAGGATCTGCTCACTCACTGCTCTCACCACCCCTTCTGAAGTTCACGCTGATGGAGGAGCAGCCCCAGACCTCACACCCACCTGGCTTCAGTTTCATGCCTCTGTTCTAGCATGTTCTAGTCGAGTTGCATTTCACAAGCTCTGCCTGGGCCTGGGCCCATCCCTAAATGAATCACTGTGCCAGGGAAACATAAGGCCAAAGCTGGCCAAAGACCCGTGCCCCACCCAAACACCACTCAAAGCACAGGGCAGAGTGCCCCTGGAGCGTTTCCCAGAGCAGGTAGGACTCAGTTACATAACAAGGGTGAGGGGATACTTGGCTGGAAAATGACCCCTGTTCCATGAGGGAGCCGACCAGCACAAGAGCAGAGATGGGAATGTGAAGGAAACAACAGTGGGTATGGCGCCCAGCAAATGAAAAGCCAGGAGAAGGAGTGTGAGGGTGAAACGGGGTGTGGGATTCTGGTTGTGAAAAGTCCAGCCTTGAGACTGGACAAAGGTTCTGGATTTGATGGCGTAGGCTCTGAGGGACCCCTGAAGGCTCCTGAGTAAGGGCACGGGAGGCAGGAGGAGGGAGAAGCTCCTGGACCACCAGAAACATGTGCTTACTCTGCCTCCCATCCGCAGACTCTCATGGGTGGAGCCCCTCCAGCCCCTCCTGACTGCCAGCCCCTGAAGCCAGCATCAGAGCTGCGATATTAAACAAAATTGTGATAATATTTTCCCAGCTGAGCTTCAGGGAAAGGGGCAGCCTGGTGGGTGGCAGACATCTGGCTACTCTGCAGGGCATGGGAGTGATGCTGAGGGTGCTGTGGTCAGTGGCTGCTGGGTGCAGATCAGATGACACGCGAGCCTGAGGACGGGCAGCACAGAGGTCAACTGGTAAACTAAGGCGGCCATTCAGGCAAGCGAGTACGGACTCTGGGAGGGCAGTGAAGGAAGAGGAGGGGAGGGTGGGAGAGAGCAAACACTGCTGATGGCTGAGGACTGAGAACTGACCAGTGGGATCAGCAACATGGTCACTGAGACCTCTGAAGGGAAGACTTCGGTGGATGCACAGAGGAGCTGGGCCCCTCTGCTCTCAAGGACTGTGGTGTGACCGCTCAGGCTGAGTTTTTCTCTCTGTCCCCCTTGTCGGGGGAGCTCTCAGCCTGCCTCTCCCCGAGGTCACTCATGCCCATTACATCTTCCTGGGCAGTGAGCCTGCTGCTCTCAGAATAGCTGGACGGCAGGGCCTGTTGCCTTCTGAGCACAGTGGCCAGGAAAGCCTTGAGGTACTGGCGGAAGCGGCGGCTGGAGAAGGCATAGAGGACGGGGCTGAAGCAGCAGTGCAGGAAGGCGACACTCTCCGTCACCTGCAGCGCATAGTCCAGGCGCTGGCTGAGCCTGCAGTCCCCAAAGACTTGCAGGTCCAGCAGCGAGTGCAGAAACAAGGTGAGGTTGTATGGGAACCACAGCACAAAGAAGGCCACCACCAGAGCTATGGCCATCCTCAGGGCCCGGCTCTGGCCCGGGGGCCTCAGGCTGACCAGCACAGAGCCAATGCGGGAGTAGAAGAAGATCATGGCAAGGAGGGGGAGGAGGAACCCCAGGAGGTTCTGCTGGAAGCGGAGGAAGAGCTTCCAGACGGTCCCATGTCCCCCATAATCCGCATAGCAGTCCCACACGCCGGGGGAGTTTTCATGCGTCCTCACAAAGACCATGTCAGGAATGGAGACGGCCAGGGCCACAGCCCACACAGCGGCTGCAAGCAGCAGGCTCTTGGCCCGGGTCCTCAGTCGGTGGTAGGGCCGAGCGCAGACAATCTCCAGGTACTTGTCCAGGCTCATGCAGCTGATGAAGAAGATGCCACTGTAGAAGTTCATGGTATAGAGGGTGCTCACCGCCTTGCATAAGAAGCTCCCAAAGACCCAATGCCACGCCACAGAGATGCCCCAGAAGGGCAGCGTCACCACAAACAGGAGGTTGGAGATGGCCAGGTTCAGCAGATAGGTCTCGGTCATCCGTCTTCGAGGCACAAACCGGAGCAAGACCGCTAGGAGGAGGAGGTTTCCAACCAGGCCCAGCACAAAGATCAGGCTGTAGAAGAGAGGCAGAAAGACTCTGCCGAATGACAGCACCTCGTCCTTCCTGCACACCATGAAGATCAGGTCCTCCAGGTAGTACTCATAGTCATAGAAGGAGCTGCTGTTCTCAGAACTGGCCACCTTGGTGGTGGGCGGCAGAGGGGAGGCGGTGGTGGCCATGGCGGGAGGATGCACCCAGTCCTGGAGCTCTGCGGGCCAGAGAGCAGTGTGAGCCACAGGAGACGGATCCAGGCCTTCCCGCCCTCTCCAAACCCACTGTAGCCCCTTTTCTGGGGTGTCCAATAGACTCTCCACACTTACACCGGTACCTGGAGGCTAGTGCCTCGGAGTACAAGTGCGGGCAGCCCAAGGCTACCACGTGATAGTGAGGTCATCTTGGGTAGGTGACGTAACCTCAGGTGTTCTCACAGTACTCACTTCTCTTCTTTATTTTGTCCCTCACCATTTATAAAGACTGAGAAGGTCATTTCTGTCTTCTTTATTACTGAGGGATGCCGATTCACCTGGGCTTCCCAGGTGGCACAAGTGGTAAAGAACCCACCTGCCAATGCAGGTAGATGTAAGAGACACGAGTTCGATCCCTGGGTTGGGACGATCCCCTGGAGGAGGGCACGGCAATATTCTTGCCTGGAGAATCCCCCGGACAGAGAAGCCTGGCAGCTTGAGCCCATAGGGTTGCACAGAGTTGGACATGACTGAAGCAACTTAGTACACACCAATTCACCTATTTATTGAGTCTGTATACCCTTCCTCATGTGTGGCTTAAAATTAATCTTTATGTGGTTTGCAATTTTTTTAATTTAATGGCCATGCTACACAGCTTGCAAGATCTTAGTTCCCTGACCAGGGACTGAACTCACACCCCTGCAGTGGAAGCACAGAGTCTTAACTGCTACACCACCAGGAGAGTTCCTTTTTTTTTTTTAATGAGAGCTTCTCTTTAGTGGGCTTGCTTCTTCTATATTTAGCTAGTGTGTCCACTCTGGTTTAGAGCTCTCTTTACTTCTTTCACTTGAGGATTTCCCTTGCTTTGGTTATTTTAATAGTATTTTTGGGAGAACAAGATGGTGGAGGAGTAGGTAGACATGGAGTACATCTCTCTCCACAGATTCATCAGGAATACACCTTCAGACAGATGTTGCAGAACAACAGCTGAGAGCAGGCAGGAGTACCCGACCACTGGAAAAGAATATATAGAACCATGCAAAATGGAGCCGGAGCCAAAGAAATCAACCATCCTAACTACAGACTATACTACAAAGCTACAATCATTAAGACAGTATGGTACTGGCATAAAAACAGAAATATAGACCAATAGAACAAGATAGAAAACACAGAGATAAACCCACACACCTATAGCTACCATATTTTTGACAAAGGGGGCAAGAATATACAATGGGGTGAAGACAGGCTCTTCAAGTGGTACTGGAAACAATGGACAGCTACTAGTAAAAGAATGAAATTAAAGCACTTCCTAACACCATACACAAAGATAAATTCAGAATGGATTAAAGACCTAACTGTAAGACAAGAAACTATAAAACTCTTAGAAGAAAACTTAGGCAGAACCCTGTATGATGTAAGTCACAGCAAGATCCTCTATGACTCACCTCCTAGTGTAATGGATATAAAAACAAAAATAAACAAGTGGGACATAATTAAACTTAAAAGCTTTTGCATAGCAAAGGAAACTGTAAAGGTGAAAATACAACCCTCAGAATGGGAAAAAGTAATAGCAAATGAAACAAGTAACAAAGGATTAATTTCCAAAATATACAAGCAGCTCATACAAGTCAATACCAGAAAAACAAATAAGCCAGTCAAAAAGATAGACCTAAATAGATATTTTCCCAAAGACATAAGATAGCTAATAAATACATGAAAAGATGCTCAACATTGTTCATTATTAGAGAAATGCAAATCAAAACTGCAATGAGCTATCACCTCAAACCAGTCAGAATGGCCATCATCAAAAAACCTACAAACAATAAATGCTGGAGAGGGTGTGGAGAAAAGGGAACTCTCCCTCTTGGGACTGTTAGTAGGAATGTAAATTGATACAGCCACTATGGAAGACAGTTGGAGATTCCTTAAAAAATTAGGAATAAAACCACTATATGACCCAGCAATCGCACTACTAGGCATATACTCTGAGGGGAAAAAAAAAAACCCTGAAAAAGACACATATGCCCCAATGTTCACTGCAGCACTATTTAGAATAGCTAGAACATGGAAGCAACCTAGATGTCTATCAACAGATGAAAGGATAAAGAAGCTGTGGTACATATATACAATGGACTATTGCATGTGTGCGTACTAAGTCACTTCAGTCGTGTCTGACTCTTTGGGACCCTATGGAATGTAGCCTGCCAGGTTCCTCTGTCAATGGGATTCTCCAGGCAAGAATACTGGAGTGGGTTGCCATGTCCTCCTCCAAGGGATCTTCCCCCACCCAGGGATCAAACCCGCATCTCCTGCGGCTCCTGCATCTCCTGCACTGCAGGCAGATTCTTTACCACTGAGCCACCGGGGAAGCCCACGGTGGAATATTCCTCAGCCATAAAAAGGGATGCGTTTGAGTCAGTCCTGATGAGGTGGATGAACCCAGAATCTATTATACAGAGTGAAGTAGGTCAGAAAGAGAAAAACAAATATCATACACTAACATATATGGAACATAGAAAGATGGTACTGATGAAATTATTTGAAGGGCAGCAGTGGAGTCACAGACATAGAGAACAGACTGCTGGACACTGCTGGGGTGGAGGAAAAAGGAGAGCATGGCATATATGGGATATATGGAGAGAGTAACATGGAAACATACATTACCATATGCAAAATAGACAGCCAGTGGGAATTTGCTGCACGACTCAGGGAACGCAAACCAGGGCGCTCTAACAACCTAGAGGGGTGCGGTGGGCAGGGAGATGGGAGGAGGTTAAAGAGGGAGGGGACAGAGGTGTGCCTGTGGCTGATTCACACTGACGTTTGGCAGAAACCAACACAATACTGTAAAGCAATTACCCTTCAATTAAAAGTAAATTTATTTTTAAAATATTTTATTTATAAATATTTAGTTTTATGTCAGTAATTTCATTTGTAAATATTCAATATGTTAAAAATATTTTATCCCCTCCTTCTAGGTTTGCAGCAGAAAGGTATGAACCATCATGTTGATAGACTCAGAACCTACAAACCTACTAATTCCTCAGTTTTCCCATCTGTATAATGATGTTAATAATTGTGCCCATTTCATGGGGTTCTCGTGAGGCTTAAACGTGATAATTCAGGCAGAGCATTTCAAGCTCTATGAAGAATACCCAGGACACAGGAGGCTCTCAGCACACATTCGCTTAAATTACTGCTTTGCCCAGAAGTGAGTTCACCACCTTCTAAGTCAGCCTCTTCTCCTCTGTCTAACTGAACACCACCACCAGCTACTCGGTCTCCTGAGACTGAACTGTAAAAGACATCGCAGACAGCTTCCTCACAGCCCCCATCACCAGCCCGTGTGTCTCCACCTCCTCACTGCTGTCCTCAGGTCCCATGAAAACACACACGTGATGAAAATATAGACATAATACTCTTTCAAATAAAATTAAGACAAATGAAATACATATATGTTTTTATATGTGTTTATATATATATATATATATGTAAAACAACCTCACGAAATATATAAATATTTGCTATGAAGGAGTACAGAGAGATGAAAGGCAGGTGAAAGACAGGCAGAGGACTCACAATGGCAGCTGCCTGGGTAGGAGAAGCCAGAGACACGAGATGGAGCAGGTCACTGTTCAAGGTCAAGTTCCCCTGGACAGCAGTTCCCCAAGTTTTAGTTGTACTATTAAACGTAATCTTTAAAAGAAAGCCCCACATGAACCAGTGAAAAAACCCTGTCATGAACCAAGGAGTATGCTCAGTCCTGTTCTGTGTTCAACAAGGAGAGAAACTTCACGTTCAACACATTGAATTGTTCACCAATGGGGAGAGGAAGGAGATAAAAAAGAATTTGTTGGCCAAACAGGCACCCGTGTGCAGTCACCAGAATAAGGCCTGTAGGCTGGTAATGATAATGGGCCACAAACCCAGAAATACAAATCAACTCCACCTTGTACCTCTGCATTTTAGTTTTTATTCTTTCAGGGGAGATGGAACTGTACTGCATGGCTTGTGAAATCTTAGTTCCCTGACCAGGGATCAAACCTGGGCATTCAGCAGTGAGAGCGCTGAGTCCTAACCACCAGATCACCAGCAAATTCCCTATTTCTTATCCTATGGTTGTAAATGAGGTTTAACTTTTTAATATGTTCAGTGCCAGTCTGTATTTCTTCTGTGCATGATTTATTGTTTTAATGGGTGGGATTTTCATTTTACAAGAGATTTTTTATAGTAAGACTTTAGCTTTTTGCAGATATAGTGGAAATAATGTCCCCAGTCCTTTCTGGTAGAAATTTTGTATGTTTTTTCTTCCAGGTAGAATTTTGAAGGAAATGTTGATTCAGGTCCTTAGCTGACCCTTCTAGTATCCATGACACTGTGACCCTGTGATGGAAATATGCATTCTGCAGAGGCTGAACCTCTCCCAGGAGCCCTCCTACTCCTTGAGCCTCTGCCCCACCCTTGGGCTTCTGTCAACTGGCCTCTGGGCCAGAGATTGGGGAAATATAAACGCCCTATCCCCACTCCAAGGCCTCACCCTGGGTGGCTTTAACTAGGGCTGGGCTCTGCTCCTAACTGGACTCGAGAACTTGGCCCTGTGCCTTCATTCCTGGTCCTCCACTCCCTTCCTGTGCGTCTGGGGTCTCCTGTGTGTGAGCCCCTGACTTTCCTGGGCAGCAGTCATGACAACCTCCAGCACATGGCTGGTTTGCGAGTCTGAGTTGCTGGGGTTGGGAGGAGGGACTGTCCTTCTGCACTTGGGCCTAATTAGGGTTTTTAGTCAGGAAGCTGTTGTTATTTAGTCGCTAAGTCATGCCCAACTCTTTTTTGTGGCCCCATGCACTGTAGTCCACCAGGCTCCTTTGTCCATGGGATTTCCCAAGCAAGAATACTGGAGTGGGTTGCCATTTCCTTCTCCAAGGGATCTTCTCAACCCAGGGATCAAATTTGCATCTTCTGCATTGGCAGGCGAATTCTTTACCACTGAGGCACCAGAGAAGCCCAGTCAAGAGTTACCACTAAT